TGTAGCAGTGGTAGGAGAAGCCATGTGATCGAATGATCTCACCCAGTGAGGTGGTGTATATGGCAAAGAGAAGAGGTCCTAGTACAGAGCCCTGGGGGACTCCTGTGGCAAGATGGTGCACGGTAAAGGATTGTCCAAGCCAAGATACACTGAATGATCATCCTGTGAGGTATGATTCAAACCAGGCATGTGCTTTCTCTGTGATGCCCATGCTAGTGAGTGTGGACAAAAGGAAGCCATGGTTGACAGTATCAAATGCAGCCGATAAGTCGAGCAGGATAAGCACTGAGGATTTGGCAGTCTCTCTAGCTTCTTTTAAGGATTCCATCACTGCTAACAGAGAAGTTTCAGTGGAGTGGCCCTTTTTGAACCCAGATTGGTAAGGGTCAAGCAGACAGTTTTGTGAGAGGTATTCTGTGATCTGCTTGAAAGCCACCCTTTCAATGATTATGGACAGAAAAGGGAGGAGAGAGATAGGTCGGTAGTTCTCCACATGATTTGGAGGAAGAGATGTTTTTTTTTTTTTTTTTTTTTTTTAGCAGCGGCTTAACCTGAGCATGCTTGAGAGAGGTGGGAAATGTACCAGACACTCAAAAGTATCTAATATTGGTACCGTTAAGTACCGGTATCGATTCCTAGGTACCGGGAATTAGGACCAAATCGATTCAAATGTCAAAGGTACCCATCCCTACTCATGACATCCAAGATTCTGCTGTGGAAGGAGTGGCAGAGATATGTGTACCTGTGCCCATAATGTCAGGTGTTTAAAATCCATTAAAGGCTCAAACCGGTTCAATGGTATCTTGGAATTTATATGATTGTAGGCCAGTTTGAAATTCCCCCTTTTTTCTGCTAAGTGTGAAAGAAACCTTTGTGTGGAAATGGTATTGTTCTTCTCTGTGTGAATCCAAACAAAGTTAATCTGAAGATATAAAATGTGGATTTCCGCTACATTTGCAAATGCATTAAAAATGAGTAAAGTAGACCTTTAAACTCAAAGTTTTAATCACTTCTTCACACCTCTGATAATTGGCCTATAGTTTATTTAAAGTGTGAACTCTGAATATTTAAATCTTTACATATTTTGAAAATCGAAAAAACAAAAGAAAAAATATTGTGCTTTCTAATCCAGGGAAAGCCGTAACATAGGTGGTCAAAATACCTTTTGAATGTACTTGAAAGTAAAATATACAACTACACTCAACAAAAATATAAATGCATCACCTTTGTTTCTGCTCCGATTTTTCATGAGATGGACTTAAAGATCTAAAATTCATTCCAGATACACAATATTACCATTTATCTCAAACATTGTTCACAAATCAGTCTAAATGTGTGATAGTGAGCACTTCTGCTTTGCTGAGATAATCCATCCCACCTCACATGTATGCCACATCAAGATGCTGATCCGACATCATGAGAAGTGCACAGGTGTACCTTATACTGCCCACAATAAAAGGCCACCCTGGAATGTGCAGTTTTGTCTCACAGCAAAATGCCACAGATGCCACAAGCATTGAGGGAGCGTGCAATTGGCATGCTGACAGCAGGAATGTCAACCAGATCTGTTGCTCGTGCATTAAATGTTCATTTCTCCACCATAAGCCGTCTCCAAAGGCGTTTCAGAGAATATGGCAGTACATCCAACCGGCCTCACAACCGCAGACAACGTGTAACCACAGTAGCCCAGGACCTCCTCATCCAGTAGGTTCACCTCCAATATCGTCTGAGACCAGCCACTCAGACAGCTGCTGAAACAATTGGTTTGCATAACCAAACAATTTCTGCACAAACTGTCAGAAACCGTCTCAGGGAAGCTCAAATGCATGCTCGTTGTCCTCATCGGGGTCTTGACCTGACTCCAGCTTGTCGCCGTAACAGACTTGAGTGGGCAAATGCTCACATTCGATGGCGTCTGGCACGTTGGAGAGGTGTTCTCTTCACGGATGAATCTCGGTTTACATTGTTCAGGGCAGATGGCAGACAGCATGTGTGGCGTCGTGTGGGTGAGCACTTTGCTGATGTCAATGTTGTGGATCGAGTGGCCCATGGTGGTGGTGGGGTTCTGATATGGGCAGGCATCTGTTATGGACGAAGAACACAGGTGCAATTTATTGATGGCATTTTGAATGCGCAAAGATACCGTGATGAGATCCTGAGGCCCATTGTTGTGCCGTACATCCATGAGTATCACCTCATGTTTCAGCAAAATAATGCATGCCCCCTTGTTGCAAGAATCTGTACACAATTCTTGGAAGCTGAAAATGTCCCAGTTCTTGCATGGCCAGCATACTCACCGGACATGTCACCCGTTGAGCGTGTTTGAGATGTGCTTGACCGGCGTATACGACAGCGTGTACCAGTTCCCACTAATATCCAATAACTTCGCACAGCCATTGAAGAGGAGTGGACCAACATTCCACCGGCCACAATTGACAATCTGATAAACTATATGCGAAGATGATGTGTTGCACTGCATGAGGCAAATGGTGGTCACACCAGATACTGACTGGTTCTGAGTCCCCAGACCTCCAATAAAGCAAAAAACTGCAAATTCCAGGGTGGCCTTTTATTGTGGGCAGTATAAGGTACAACTGTGTACTACTCATGATGTCAGATCAGCATCTTGATGTGGCACACCTGTGAGGTGAGATGGATTATCTCAGCAAAGCACAGGTGCTCACTATCACACATTTAGACTGATTTGTGAACAATGTTTGAGATAAATGGTATTATTGTGTATCTGGAATGAATTTTAGATATTTAAGTCCATCTCATGAAAAATTGGAGTAGAAACAAAGGTGTTGGTTTATATTTTTGTTGAATGTATATACTATAAACAGTGGTAGAGTGAACTCTGATCACAATATATAATCTACTGCATCCCACAGACTGAGGCTTTCGCTGTGTTCAGGGCATGACTTGATTCTCTTATTTTGAAAAGCTGCACTACTTTGTTCTTGTTTTGAGTTTAGCTGAAGGGAGAACATATATGCTGTGTTTCTTAACTCAAAAAGTTAAATAATCTTGACTTTATTACTAATCAAATGAATCATGATTGCATTTTCCTGCTGTCAAACTCTCCTTAGAACATATGCACAAAAAATGGATCCCCTGATTTTTGTGAATGATTTTATTGCATCCAAATTTTTTGTGTTAAACATCTGCTGCAAAATGTTGGTTCTCTTTTGTTTTTGGAATTGGGTCTGTTAAAATTAACACAGTTGTATGTGATGGTTTTAATTCAACTGACATTTTAATTAGCAAACAAAGGCTGAAGCTTAGTCTGGTCACAAGAATCATATTCTAAATTTACAAATATTTTTGTTAAAATCCAGCTTTTTTCCAGAGCGCACCGCTGGAAGAAAATCAAAGCTGACACACACATTAGATAGCCATCCTTTTCACAGTTCAGGTATTAGCATATAAATTTTCTTTGCATAAAGTTCTTGTGGGTTTTCATCAGAAAATCTGATGTCATTCAAGCTTTTATCTTCGTCTTTCCTCTCATTTATTGGAAAAGCCATAAACTTCCAGTTAATCGCCCGTGGGAATGCACTAAGTGCCCCCTGTCTTTCTCCTTTTTGCTCATATGTTCTCTGCATTGTATATTCCCACTTGCCACCTCATTTTATCATAAATGCCTTTTAAACCACTTGACTGGAAAATTGACTTGGCATGTCAATTTGGCTCAACTGCCCCAGTCAATGCTTATGGTTCGTTTGCATCTGCAGATGCATTTCTTTAGGATTCATGCCGTTTTCCTTCCTCGGCTGAGAGGGAAAGCTTCTGCTTTATATTTTCACCGATACTCAACCAGGCATTTCAAATAAAAACAAGGCCACTAAACCCTGAAAGTGACAGGGGATGATCGAAGATACGTGGTTCAATTAAATGCTATGAATAATACAATAAGTCACTTTACTGAGTCAGAATAGACTACAAGTAATGATGTTACAGATTTGAGTGAAAAGTAAGGGTAGACCAACACAGGGTAGACCAACACAGGGTTTCCCCCAGTGCTTTATAAGCCCTCGCCAGGCCAAGCGTTCCCCCCACCCCCCCCACCCCACCCACCCACCCCCAAATGGTTCGCCGGGCTCAGTAAGTGTTCTGGGGGAAACCCTGCCGATATATCAACGATGTATAAAAAAATATATCACTGAGATATCGGCCTGTCAATATATCAGCCCGTCGACATATCAGGCCGATATTTATCATTTTTTATACATCAGAATTGGCCGATATTGTCCTTAGTGAAGCCGATCACCAGGGAGAAGTCCACGAGGCATGCTTACCAGATGACCAAGCCACCTCAACTGGCTCCTCTCGATGTGAAGGAGCAGCGAGTCTACTCCGAGCTCCTCCCGGATGACCAAGCTTTCACCCTATCTCTAAGAGATAGCCCAGACACTGCGTTGAAAACTCATTTCAGCTGCTTATATCCACGATCTCGTTCTTTTGGTCACTACCCAAAGCTTGTGACCATAGGTGAGGGTAGGAACGTAGCTTGACCGGTAAATCGAGAGCCTTGTCTTCCCGCTCAGCTTTCTGTTCACCACGACAGACCGGTTCAACGCCTGCATCACAGACGACAACACCAGTCCACCTATCGACCTTGTGCTCTTTTTCTCACTCCTAGATACTCACTAATAAATCTCACTAATAACATCAGCATAATAAATGCTTGAAATGAATTTTATTTAGGTGTCTGACTTTAACACTGAGTGGTGCACAAAGTTAAGATGTGAAAGTTAAGTTGAAGTTCAAAAAAAGATTCAGCTTCAGAAATTGTTTGCAAATGTCTAGATATCGGCCATGAAAATTGGCCCATTAAAATCAGCAGTTCATATGTGGTATGACATTGGTATTGGCAATAGACAAATTAACATCGGTTGACCCCTAGTCAAAACTTTTAAAAGATTTCTGCACCATAAAGCCTTTGTTATGGTTAAGTTTGGCTCTGATTGAACTCATTTGTTGCTTCTTTTTTCCTGTAGATTGAGGACGTCTTGGTGCCATGACAAAAGGGCTTGGAATGGAAACGTTGGCTCGACGTCACACAGAAACTTTTCGATCATCAATTTAAAAAAAAAATCTTCATTCATAATGTTTGGATCGTCTTAAAAATGGAATACCTCAGAACTCCAACCACAACCTGACACATATGAGCGCATCTGGAGGTTTTCTCACAGCTTATGTCATCTATAAAACTGTTAATTTATCCTCATCACATCCACATTTGTGGATCAAGATTTGCTTTGTTAAAAGCTTATTGAAGCATTTCTTTACTTTGTCATGCAGAAAATCTGCATACACCCCAAAAACAAGCTAGCCTCGCAAATTTTAGGAACAGCAGGCATAGCTGATGGTGTCTGTTCAGCTGTGACCCCATGACCTTTGCTGATAACTGAGTATCAGCAAACCATGTCTTCACCAAAGATCTAACAGTAGCCAATATCCTCCACACCGCCGTTAGGATGAGCGTGTTCCCGTAGCCTGGCTGTGACAGTGTGGCTGGCCGTCACAGGACGGTCACCTCCCTCTGCCATGACCCGGCTGATGTTGGGCCGGACTCTGGAGCGAATCTGCAAAGGCGTCCTGCTGCTCTGCCTGCTCCACTTCCTCATCATGATGATCCTGTACTTTGATGTCTACTCGCAGCGCTTCGACCTCTTCAGCCGCTTCAACAATGGACGCAATGGATCCAGGAATAACATCAGCGGAACCGGACATCATTATTTTTACTACAACCTGTCGAGGCCTAATACGACGTTGGCCAGCTACCTGGCCACAGGTGAACAGCTGATACAGAGCATGCAGCCTGAAAGCAACCAGACACCGTCTCCCAAACCACTGCCGCCATGTCCAGAGAACCCACCGGGCCTCGGTGAGTAAAAATACTCAGTCTCTACTCCCTCTATTAAAATGTTTAACATAAGATCATATATCTTTGTGATAAGCTGTGAGCCTGTTTGTGCTTTATTGTTATTCTGTGTGTATCCTAAATATGTCATGTTCTGAGGTAATGATTTAACCCAAGACATGCAGAATCAACACACTGGAGCAGGATGTGAAAAAATAAAGATTTAGGCCTAGTCCACACGTAGCCGGGGTTTTTTGAAAACGAATATCCGCCCCTCCAAAAACTTGCATCCACACCACCGCGTTTTAAAAACAAACTCTGTCCACACGTACCCGGTTAAATACGTTGTTAAGGACACGCCAGACCTGTAGGCGGCAGTACTTCCCCCGTTCTTAACCTCGTCCTTCGTCTGTGGTCTTCCGCAAGGAGCAGTAATTCCGCTTGCAAAAACAAACAAGCAAAAAGCGCTTTGACAATTGATGGATCGGGTAGTGACAGAGCGCAGCTCTGAGGGCTTCCATGATGCCGGCTAGTGTAAACACAGGTCGCACACGTGATGTCAGCATTTTTTGTCGCAGAAAGTGACGTTGCGGACCTTAAAACTCCGGTTTTGTCCGTCCACACGCAGACACCCAAAACGGAGAAAACGCAGATCTTCACTTTGGCCGGAGTTTTTAAAAAGATCCGTTTTCATGTGAAAAAACTTCGTTTTCGTGTGGATGACAGGCCAAAACGTAGAAAAATATCTACGTTTTGGCAGATCCCCGGCTACATGTGGACAGGGCCTTATTTGGTAACTAGAACTTAGGGTGCACTGGAAATCCAGTGAATGGGTAAACGGGAGCAGCGTCTGAGGGGAGGGAAACAGAGGTGAGTCCTTGATTGATACTGTAGTACGGTAGAGGATGAGTTTGGTAGGAGGACTTACAGACATAGCGTGGTGGAGGATCTCCAGGGAGGGGTGAGGTGGGAGAGTGAATGAGTATTCCGGGATGACGAAGAGCGGCAAGGTTTTACAACTGGAGGGGAGGAGAGAGAGAGCCTGTAGTGCTGGGGCAGTTAGTGCCGTGAGGAGGACGGGAACCGGGAGTGAAGTCCAGACGTCGTATGGTCGGGTAGTAAATCCAAAAGCTCACAGCGAGGAGGTGGTGTATGGAAAGATGACTGAGCCTGAGACAAAACGAGAACAAAAAATCTGAGCAAAAGATCGCTAGCGAAAAACACGTTTCTAAAGTTCAAAGCTAAAGTTTCAAAGTTCAAAGTCAAGGTTTCAAATATCGAGTCGAGTTAACACTGTGGCCGGAACTCTACCAGTAAGGCGTAATCATCCGGCGGCTTAGCAGTATGCTCCGTCCTCCTTATAAAGGCCACCCGCTGATCAGCCGATTGATCACAGCTGCTGCTCTCTCTCCTGGAATCAGAGAATCTCACAAGCCAGGTGATGTCATGGTGTGTGTGGAGTGCTCATCTCCCAGCTCACAACAAAATAATGATCTAAGGTGCTGACAAAGCCTCACTCTGGTTACAACTCATGGCGGTTGTAATGAGATTTGCTTTATTTGTCTCTCATGAACCTGAAAAGCTGCAATTAGATATTCAGCAGTCCGTAGATATCAGGTGGAAGTCCCGTTACATCAAATATATGTATTTGTGATGCAACGTTAGATGAGATTAGAGTTGGGGCTAGGGCTAGGTCCTGTTACATCTAAGATTTATTTGGGATGCAATGTTAGATGAGGTTATCTGGTCCATCTGACTGCTCATGAAAACCTGGAGAGTTGCTATCTGGGACAAATAGTAGATTCTCAAATCTGATGAAAACAATCTTACAGATGAAACAGTAAAAATTAGAATATGGTGTAAAGTTCTTTTTTTTCAGTAATTCAAATTTAAAGGTGAAACTAATATATGAGAAGCCAGCCATTTCAAGCCTTTATCATGGCTTACTGCTTATGAAAACCACATATTCAAAATCTATATTCAATATTCCAGACTCAAAGTGTCACACTCTAATCGGCTAATTCATCCAAAACATCTGCAAAGTGTCCCTGAGCCTTTAGATGGTCTCTCAGTCTAAAGCCTATTTTATACTTCCCCGTCTTCGTGGTTACGAAATTATACAATACCATTTTGCATCAGTGCAAGGGCTCTCTGATGGGCTCACAGCGGCTGACGGAGACATGCCCAACTTTTTAACTGTCGGTCAAAAGCGACGGAGACCACAAGCTTGTGACTGGTCAGGATGCCGTTTTGTTTAAATTCATAACAGCTCTGCCACTGCACCCTCAAAAAATGTAAAGGTATTTAGGGGCAGGCACGGAACAGGTTGAAGAATATCTTGCGTAAAAAGTCAGAATATTTGAACATTTATTCACCCTTGATTGAAGGGGTACAAAGATACTCTGCAAGTGGACGGAAATGACGAGAAACGCGGGTTTAGAGGTGCCGATCACATGAAGACGTGGAGGAGATTGAGGGACAACTTTGTGTGAAAAAGTCTCTGAAATACAGTAAAACACAATATAAAAACAAAGTAAACACAATATGTTGGATTGGATATGTTACTATAATGGTGGCAGGACACCCCAGAAAAAGCTACGCCTTCTGGTGAGGAATTGCTTTGCAACACTTCCCAGCTTACCACAAAAACATCATCTATCTGTGTGTGCGTGACTCCACACTCGAGCTGATGAAGAAGTACTGAAATAAATGGACTTTTGCACCATATTCAAATTTTTCCAGTTTCACCTGTAGGTGGTTAAGATTATTAATGATGGTCTAATTAAGGGTTTTGGTAGAAAAAAAGCAAAAACACATATTTAGCTTGTATATTTTATTGAATAAACATTCTTTTGCTGTACACTTCGACATTAAGGTAGTTGTTGTCTCTTAAATGTATCCAAAGAGAAAGTTTTCATCCAGCAGCCCTGAAGTTTAGGTTTTTGTCTTTTATCATTCTGATAGATTTTTTGAAAAAAACTTTCTTAATCTCCTGACTTTTGCTGACAAAGCTTTACTTATGCAGTTGACTGGCTGTGCCTGTCTGAACGTGATTTAGACCTGGGCGATGTAGAGAGCAGGATTTCATCCAACAACCATAATGAATGTAGTAGATGAGACCTTGATCGAAGATGATCGAGTTGGACACTGAAGGTTACTAGTTTATGTTGTGTAAATAAATGCGCCTCCAGGGTTACTCCAATTAGTGGGAAAGAGCAAGTACGGTCATAATTTAGTTTGTGCGGATCAGCCTGCAACATAAAATGGATTTAATGTCAGCACTTTACACTGTTGTATTTCAGCCTGATAGACTTAGTGTGGAGCATTAAGAGAGATTCATGCAGTCTGATGCTTCTACAGAAACAGCAGCATAGTTTCACTCAGAGTATTTATTTAATGCTTTAATTTCTTTGCAAGGAGATAAAAACGAGCTATTTAAGCATCTTTGAGCCAAGGTACAAACCTCATTTTAGTGTACAGCGATCTTTTTCCAGGTAATTTAACGTATATTCATGTGAAAGGGGACAATATGTGCAAAAGTTAGAATTTTTGGTTTCTTTAAAGTGGTGCAAACAAAAAAGGTAATGCCTAGACGCAACTTCACTGTGCAGATCTACATGCACAAAGGCATTCATAAGCATCAGGTTTACTAAATCAATCAATGCATAGTGGATACACACTCACTCACAACCTTTTTGTGGTGGATATTAACAGATAATAGACTTCAAACAAACTCTGCAAGATTATTTTTTAATAGCTTGAGGAGTCCTTTTGAGTGCTGCTTATCGCAGCGCTGCTATCCTCTTCAATTGTACCCATAAATATCTGCTTTATTCTGCTCTGCTTTAACTTCCTCTTAAAATAAATTGCTGCTTGTTGACTGCTGGAACCTTGCCTTGAATAGTTTTAAAAGTACATCAATCAGATGTATGATGTAGAAAGTATATTTATGTGGTGTGTTTTACTGGCACTATGTCTCTCTCTCTCTCTCTCTCTCTCTCTCTCTCTCTCTCTCTCTCTCTCTCTCTCTCTCTCTCTCTCTATATATATATATATATATATATATATATATACACCATACCATACCATACCACCTTTATTTATATAGCACTTTAAAAACACAGCCACACGGCTGACCAAAGGGCTGAACAGTTGCACAATAACAGACAGAAAACATAAAATAGTACTATGAAATACAACCAACAATAAAAAAGACAAGCCGATAAAAAAGTACCAATAAAAACCTTACAATGGATGATAAAATAAGTGTAGTATATATATATATATATATATATAACTAATTAGAAAATACAGAAATATTCCAAATACATAAGATGATCTGTTGAATGCAGATATTATGATTTTAGTAGTTGGGGGAGAAAAAAAAAACAAAAAAAAAAAACTTGCGTTTTTAGTAGTTTAGCTTCATGGGATTTTATTTTGGCGTTCCAACTCTACAGTTAGGTCTGTCTGGGCATCAGAAACAGGTCAAAGTATTAAAAGGAAGTTGATCAGGTGATGATGAAGCGGTTTCTTATCTTTTGGCTACTGCTTTGTTTTTCATCATTGGTTTTTCTCCAAACTGCTTTTGCTTATTGGTAATGATTATAAATTATCTCTGGAAGAAAGCCATACAATTTTGCTGAAGGTGTTCTCAGCATCATGCTCCATTGTCAGCGTCCAGTTTCGTCATTAATATATCTACTTGTGCAATATTTCTTCAAATAGACCAAATAGAAGCTGGGATTGAACCTGCGACCTTCTGATTACAGGGCAACCCATACCTCCTGATCTACTGCTGTTCCATAAGATGTTCAGAGTTATCTCTTCATTGCCTCATTTGATCCTTCTTGGTTTTTACAAAGACAACCTAAATAAGGCTGATGACTTTAAAAAGAGGCTATTTTACTAAGTGTGCTAGTTGGTTTTTACAGTGGTTGCTAAATGCAGCTAAATGGCTGCACTCTTGATCACCGATGAGCAACAAATGACGGTACTTTTCTTTTCTCTAATTACATCTCTCT